GCGCCCAAGTGATTTCTCTGTCCTTGAATACCCAAGAAACTAAGCAGTACCTAAAGCCGATTTGGTTGACCCAACCAAATCCATCACTTAAATGCCTGAAAAGTATACTTAAAGTATCCTGAGATCATTCAGGCATGAATCCAGCAAATGGATCAACCAACATCTTTTAAAAAGGAAAAAACAAGAGCCTCCAAGGGAAATCAAGAAACCACCAATCCCCTCAAAATGAACCTAGGACATCTAGCAAAATCTAATTGCATGCTCCCTAACCACCTAAACCGGAAATTATAGGCTTTGCTACTCACTAAACTCAAACCCATCCCTTAACTCGGCCTATAAAAACCCCATTCATCACTGCATAAGGGCATCCTCCAGCTCTTAGTAAGCGCCCATTGCCTTTAGCTCTTCCAACTGCCTACTCTAAGCCCAATGACGTCCATCTCTGTTGAGTTCTTGATCGGATTTCATCAAGAACAGCAACCCAATTGTCAAAGGTTCCAAAGATCGGTTTAGAGGTCGTCTTCTCGCCTAAATGAATTTCCAAGAGTCATCGGTTGTTAAATAATTGCTCTTTATAACATAATTTTCCAATCCTTCCCCAATTTCATTTAGTTGTTAGGACATTGAAAAATGAATGGTAGAGGTAGAAAGATTTAAAAATTAGATCTTTCATCTTTTACCTCTAGATCATTTCCAGTGAAAGGGAATTCAAAGTTCTTCATTAGATATGTCAAATCATGCGCTCCTTGACATATGGTTTCAATTTTTTTCAACGTACTAGGAAAGATGGAATTTGGTTCGTCCATTCTATTGAAATAGAATGTATGATCGTGGTTTGATCAAACCAAGGAGCAAGACTCCCACCATGCGAACAGTAAGTCCAGCGTATTTGATTCCTTTCTAATAGAATTCTACCATCTGTAAATTACATACAGTCATATGCTGATTGTTTAAGGGGTCAAGTATTTAAAGAAAATCCAAGCAAAATGGTTTAATCTTCTAAAAATCATATCTAATGTAATACTTAACCAAAAATTAATTGTAAATGCTCGTTTGAATGAAGAAATAGATAAATTTGTACTAAAAATGAAATCTAGATCTAAATTATAGTTATTTATTTTTAATTAAATAAACATTGAAATTAAATGAATAATCAACTACTAAATAAAATGATTTTTTATTTTGACAAAATTCGTTCCAAGTTTTCATTGAGACAATTAGGATTTCTGGTAATTTTTCTTGGAAGAAAACTTGATCAATTTAAGGGAATCTAGTTTTTCTAATTAATTATTAAATAATAATAACATCAAAATGGCTCTCTGAAGCCAATAATGTATTTAGGTTCTTGGGCTAATTTCATTAGAAAGCTAAATAAATCTATTTCTTGAATTAAATAATTCAATAAATGCACCTTTAATTTCATTAATTCTTGATAAATCAAATTTAATTTAAAAAATAACAAAATTTATCTACTCAAACATAAGGACAGAGAGAATGTGTGAAAATTAAATTCAAATTATTTTGAATAAATAAAAAATTTTGAATTTTTAAATTAAAAAAATCCAATAATTCATAGAAAATTCATTTCATTACTTAATGACCTCAAATTTTTATGAGAAGTTTAGGATAATATTTTAAATTTCTTTGTATACAACAACAATAACAACAACAAAGCTTTAATCCCACTACGTGGGGATGGAGGGGGTGCAACACGAGGACTTCCCAAGAGGTCACCCATCCTAGTACTACCCTCGCCCAAGCACGCTTAACTGCGGAGTTCTGATGGGATCTGGTGCACTCGTGCTGGTATGGTCCCACCTATTTTAAACTTCTTTGTATATTTTCATTATTTTTTTCAGTTATTTAAATTTTTAATATTACCTAAATGAAAAATAAATAATAATAAATTCAACAAAATTAAAAAAATCATCAAAATTGTATGAAGTGTTTTGAAGATTATCTTTGGCCTTAGGTATTAATTTCATTTAATTTTGAGATCATTTGAACCCAAAGCAAAAATAAAGCTGATTAAAATCATAATTTAACCAACCCTTAAATAAAAATAAAAAACATTAATTCAAAGTACATAAAAATCAATTTTGTATGCTTGTAGGTGTTATGAAACATCATTTCTTTCTTTGGTGATTTGTATGTTTCATATAAGCTAAGGTGTCTTAAATGATGGGATTGTCCCTGGGGTGAACTTGTAAATTTAAAATTACTCTTTAAATCCTTTACAATCAAATTAAAGCAATAAATCTTTAAAATAAATAAAGTTCTTAAAATACTAATCACATGAATTTAAAAAACCCATTAGTAAAAAAAATTAAACCCCAAACCAAAATTGAAAATTGAACTTTAAAGGCATAATTCAAACTCACCATACATCCTAGCACAAACATCAGACCTGTTAGAGCGATGACCAAAAATTTTAAGTTGGCATTCTTTGCTCTATTAGTTGGTTTGGTGTACTTTTGTGATGTTTTATGTTATGTAATGGATCTGAGATGATATAACAATTGCTTAGGAGTTATATATTTTCTATGTTAACTCTATTTTGTAGATGTTGTAGTAAGCATCACGGTCATAAGAATCGTAGGTTTACTTTTCTACCATTGAGTCTCTATTTAAAGTTTAGATGGCACTTGCAAGGCCTGTGGGTGTCAGAAGTTAGTCCTGAAGCAAAGAAAGAAAGCAAATGAACATAATGAACCAATAAAATCAAAAGAAATGGATGAATGAGAACGAACCCTCAGAGCAAGTAATTCCAAGTGGAGCTTCGTGATGCCCGATAAACCCAAAAGTAAAAGCTGAAGACACCACAAACTTGTTGAATTTCTGTATTGTAGAATTAGACCGGCAATATAAGGTAAGTACTCGATTGCCAATTATACTCTTTCTTCTGGGTGTATTACACTATCCAACCGAACTAGCATTTTAGTTTATCATTTCTAGTTGTTTTGTTTTCTTTGTTTGAGCGTTTACATTGAATTGCGATCCTAAAAATCATGTTAATGCCTAAGCTCTTTCACTCGATCATAATTGATCTGTTTTATGTTGTAGGCTCTGAAGAGCAAATTTTTTATCCCAACATAACAACTCAAAATACAATTAATTCAAAACAAAAAAAAATCAATTAAAAATATAAAAAAATAATCAATAAAATTTATTAGAATAAATTATTTGCATTGGCATGTTAGTATTCTCCTTGCCTCAACACTTCACTCATTACGCATAACTATGATCAACACTTCACTCATTATGCATAATTATGCTTCTGGCCAATGATCATAGTCACATTACCTAGAAAAGTTTGACCAAAACTTGATTAATCTTTAACCCTTGATATGCATTAGTTGCAAAAGATTAGACTAAACTATAAAAGAAAATAATTAATGAAATTTTATGTAGTGGGCTCTAATTGGTCTTCAAAATCAATTACATAAATAAAAAAATTTAAAAAATATAATTTTTTTAGTTGCTAGAATCATTTCACACCAATCATGATCAGGCATCCTGACTATAGTAGTTGAGATATAAGTTATATTTTCTTCCTTTAATAAACAACAGTCTTACTTATCCTACATTAGAATAGACTACACTTTGTAATTCTAAGATAATTAGGTGAGTTTAGTTTATCGTCTTTTGTAAGTAGAATTGTAAGTCAAGTGTCAGACTAATTTTAGCCATAAATATGACGAACATTATACATTCATTGCATATCAATAGGCCTAGGTTTGAATTCTTATAGTGATATAAAACTTATTATTGAAATATAAGTCATAACTTTTTAATAAAATAAACAATTCATAGTTAAATAATTCTCGATTTCAAAATTATAAATCCCAATATACAAAAAATTGGAGTGCTATTGAACTTCTTAGTATCAAAGCACTTCATAATTCTCCTTAAGTTGTTGTAGCTTCTAAGAAAATTGTTCAAATTAGAACTTTCCTTAACGAATTTTCAAAATATCACTCTTGAAAAGCAAACATTGAAATTCATAGATATTAGTTATTACTTCAATTGAGAGTGTTTTTAGAAGATCATCACTTCTCCAATATAATAGAAGACTATCCCTAAAGAAAAATTGTACTTCATATTAAAATAAACAATATTTTAACCGAACTTAAAAGAGAAAAAATTTTTTATTTATGTTGACTCATAAATTTTAAAATATTTACTTAGTCGTTGAATCTATTATAGAGTAATATTTCTAAGTTTTGATATAATATATTATTCTTAATGTTATATTTGATCATTTAAATATAAAATTTTAAAATGTGTGATGATATACTTCTTTGAAAACTTTTAGCTAATTTATATTGTCGAAAAATTTTAGTTGCCTTAAATATATCCTTCAAAACTTGAAGATAAATGGTAAGATACATTAAAGAGAAAATATATCAACCCTTTTAAAATAATGGTAGCCTCTCACTCCTTCCCACCCTCCCTCCTTTTTTTTTAATAAACAATGAAAGTTTTGAAATGAGAAGCTGCTCCATCTAAGAATATATATATACGCACAGCTGGGTAAATGCAAAAATAAATAAATAAATAATAATTTCTCATTCTATTATCATTTTTTGAAGGAAAATAGAAGACATGAAATGTTTTTAGTTAAAAAGGAAAATCACCAATAATGTTAGGGAAACATCATGACATTAGGACTACACTAATTTACTCAAGGTATTGCTAAGAATATATCATATTTAATAAAAGTGGTAGATTGCTTGATTCAAGTTATTGATAAGAATATATCATATCTAATAAAAAACTGCTAGATTGCTTGTACGAAGTGGACAAACCAATATTCTAATTGTCTAATTAGCTAAGCACCAGAAGAGAAGGGGCGATGCATACAAATTTTCTATAATGTAACTGAGTTTGCAAGAATAGCATGACTAGAAAATTCTGGCGCTTAATTTTTATTATGATCATGCAATCCATCAAGGCATCAACACAAAACATAAAATGCAATAACTTGAACAGGCACAAACCTCTCAGTAGTTCTAAAAATATCCCCGGCATTCTCCAGCAAAATTTTGAGTACCTCCAGAGCTAAAATCTTTCCCTTCATCTGCGAGGGATCAGCAAGTGCTTCCTTAGGCGGTGTCTTCATTGAGAGCTTACATAGAGCCCGGAAAACCAGAAAAGCATCTCTCCTCAGCCTACTTCCAATTTGCACCTCATCGTCATCCTCTCTCTCCATGGCCAGCACCGCCCCTTCCCCACCCAACTCAACTTTTCTACCCTCAAGAGCACTCTTGTACATGCTGATCTCCCAATGCTTGGCGTCCAGCATATCTTTGTCGGTAGAATCAAGTAAATCTGTCGGATTCGTGCTCTCCACCGTCGTGGGCTCAAAAGTTCGATCATGGAAGCCGTTGGAGGGCGTTGTAGATCTCGAGTTGAGGACGCCGTCGATGTCACCAATGATCCTGGTAATAAAGGCCTGTACGAATTGAGTGACGTTACCGTCGACTGAGGGCTGGTCGGCGGTGAGGTCGATAAGATCGGCCACTACAATGGGTTGGACGGGGACTGTAGAAGAGTCAGCCTCCATCCGGCGGAACACGATGACAAGCATCTGGATGAGAGAGGCCTTGGCAGTAGTCTGGTTAACGGGGTTTTTAGACGCAAGGTAGAGATCGTGTATGGTGCGGACGATAAGGAGAAGGGAATCTCCGCCGATTCGAAGGGATGTGGAGGTAACAGCAGTGAGCAGGGTCTTGAGGACGAGGAGCTCCATGGAGTCGTCGGCCAAGGAGTGACAGCTGCAGGAGGCGTCGATAAGCTGGGCGAGGAGGCGGGCGGAAGGTCCAGCGGAGGAGTCGGCCTCTCCATGGAGGAGGGCATGGGAGATGAGTCGCTGAACGCAGTCTAGGGCGGGCTCGGCGATTTTGAGGAAGGAGGAGGAACAAGCAGCGATCAAGGGGGCGAGGATGGCCTCAGACTCTAAAAAGGAGAGATTCGAAAGGGGGCCGGGAGCAGAACATGAGGAGTCGGGGGAGTCTGGAGGATAGGAAGAAGCGGAAGATGGAGGCCCGGACAGGCTGTCGATGAGGGATTTGCACTGCAGTGCAAGCTTGGAGTGCCCCTTGCGCCATGATGCGTTCTTGATGATCTTCTCGAGTGCCGGGACCACGATCTGGTGCACGCGGTAATCAACTTCCGCGAAAGAAGCCATTGCCGGCTGAAGGTTGAAATCAGAAGGAGTTTAGATCCGGCAATGAATGAGCATTCCGCCACGGCGGCTGTGGCGGCGGCAGACAAGCAGCAGGTCGGGGTTTTGAGCGACCCCTTGCAACTGGCCTTGCCGTCCCAGCCGGCAGCGGATCTGCAGGAGGAGAATGAACAGGAGATCATCATAGTAACTAATATGATGTCCAGTTATAAATTCCTTCAGAAACTAACAATTTTTATATTTTAGTCGTCATGATTTCTAGATTTTAGGTAAATATTCATAAGCACATGTATTTCTAAATTTTTATTTACTCTTTGTAAATTTAAATTTTTATTTTAAAAACGATTATAATACTGATTTTTTAAATAAATGTAAAAGCGGAGATGACTTTTTAAATATCTACAAAGAAACAAAACTTCTGTGCCAAGTTTATTGAGGATTTATTTTTCAACTTTTACTTGGCAGCCTTTCAAATACAGTTGGCCTTCATGCAATTTTACTTATAATTTTATATTATGGTGGTTATGTGTGCCTATACACTTAGATTTTAATTCATGTTTGATTATTATGCCATGTATGTTAAATGTGATCAATACAATATTTGGTTCCTTCGTGCACAATCAAGACGCCCGTGATTAAATCGTTCGTTGATTGGACGACTCAGAGCGGAACATGAGTCACCTGTAGAACTCCACGAAAAATAAACAAAGATACCTAAAGACTTGATACTGACTAAGGGGTCGACCAACCTGGGGATGACCTAATCAGAGATCAAATGTCGATCCAGCATCCAATCAAGAAACTGTGGGACCCGAAGACTACTGAATCAAAGGTTGACCGGCTTGAAGACCACCCAAATATAGACCGACTTGTAGAGGATGATCTGTCAGATATTCAATGACCTCATGGCATGCAATTGATCGATTGGGGTCGGCCAATTAAAAAGAATTAAGGGTATAATTGTCATTTTATATCATTCCTAACCCGTTTTCTCACACTTTATTTCTTGGATGTGATTCACAGACATATTTGGGTTCAACATTTGGCTATAATTGTACTATCTTTTTGGGTGTTCTTAGATATAAACTAAGATTTAAAAAATCATATTTTATTTGAAACATTCGATTTTATATCATTTCCTTATGGTGAAAATTATACAAATATATCTGTTAATTTTTTAAAAAAATGTACTTTGATTATTTAATACTCTTGATTTTAAGCAATAGTGAAAGGCTTCTAACTTTCACCAACAATTATATGGCTTTTTGATAATAGAAACTCATTAATCTTTCCTTATTTAAATTTATTCTTTGTTTCTAATGTGATGTTAGGCTTCAATAATATTTTATGGCATAATTTGTTTTCATTGAACATCTATGAAGGTTAGTGATATTATTCATTTTGTTAATTTAAGATTACATATAACAATTGCACTCTAAATCCCAAAGCTTGAATATCAATAAATATAACATAAATTCAAACATTGTTAGTGTACAGCAAGAATATGTCAGCATGAATCCCGAGAATATCCAACATTCCAGAAGGAATGAAGTACAATAAAGGAGAGCTCGCCAACAGGAGACCAAGAGGTGTCACTTATATAATTGGATGCAACCATTCAAACCAAGTTTAAAAGCCAACCTAGTTAAGATAATGATGAAAAGATCAACCCAAGTCTGGACTAATCGAGCTAGGACAAATAGATCAAACCCGAGGAAGCAATTTAGTTCCTCGCCATCGTCAACCGTCCCACAAAAACCCCTGAGGTTCGTCGTCAGAGAATAAGAGTTGGCAATACAACAAAGCATCACAATCATCTTTTGGCTATCCTTATTGAGGAGTGAGCTAATTATTGGGTTACATTAATTCACTCTAAGCCTGATAGACTAACATCGCTCAATTGACAAGAGTCCCTCATCAAGGATCAAGGGTTTTAAGCTGGATTAGATCAGCTAACTAACAGAAGTTCAGTTGATTAAATCAATCCTAATGAGTTAAATCCAACCCGAAAACTCAACATAGCCAACTGAGCCAAAGCCTAACAAGCCCAACCGAGCCAATCATAGGGCAGCCAAGCAATAGAATCATATAGGTAAAATACTAAAATATCTTGTAACGATACCATTAAAGAAGGTATGGAAATATAATAGCACATATTGTGCCCTCTCCTCCATAAATAGTGGATCATTTTAGGAGAAATGGCTAAAGAAGAAACGTTTTAATGTTTATTTTCTCTCTCTGCCTATTTATCTCTCTCCATCTGTATACTCTAACCCTTGACGTGTGATTCACAAAAAAATCAAGATTCAAAATCCTAAAAGGTGTGGTGAGCATGGATCTTACCACGAATAAAAAAAGGAGTAGCACTCAGAGAAGAAACTTATAATATAGACACCATTAACCTGAATCTAGTAGCTAAAGGATCAGATGTTGGACACGTTCGAGAGATGTTAGCTTGGGGATTGAAGTTGCATCCCCAATAGGAGGGGTCGGCACCCAATGGTCGAAAGGCACCCTTAGCCATGAATAGAGGAGATTTCAGTGCATCAACAGTGTTGGTTCGGCACTGGCAGAACATCAGTTTGGGGATATTGAAGCACTGGCCCGACCAGCAATTACACAGATATTTATGTTCCTAAATATGACCAAAATCTTAATCCAATTTGAATTTAGCGGCTTGTGAGAACAAATGTAATATTATAAAATTTAGATTAATAGTTTTCTCACTAAGGGTACTACGCAAGTATGCGTATTATTTTAAGTAATATAGAGTTCTTTAAAACCCCAATATCGATATCACAGTTAAATTAAGAGAAAGAAGTAAATTCAGGAATCTTAACTATGAAAAACCTTAAGATTGCAAAAATATTTGAAGTAGTTTATGCAATGAAATAAAGTTTACTAATTCCTACAAATGCAAGTTAAAAGTAAATGACAAATTATTAGAAAATTTAAGATATATAAAAAGAGACTTTCTCCTTGTAATTAATTCATAATTAGTGTAAGATTTGAAATGTTTAGAAGTTTACTATTGTATTGTGACAAATAGGAGCATACTTATTCTTTTTTCTTCTGATATAAAGAATATTGGCTAATCTAAAGTTGGTGTCAACATGTATAGTAATGTTGGGTAGGTTCTAGTCTCTCAGTCCTAGATTGTCCAATGTGCCCTCTCTATATGACCTACCAGTGACTCTTAATTCAAATCTCTAGACCAAATTGATAAAAGAAACTAGTCTGTCACCCTAGAAACATCAATTCTACGCCCATTAAATCTTATCTTTTTATCTATTTGCACTCCCCCTTGGACGATTGTCATAACTCTTTACAAAGTGAAATATGACACTCACTAGTTAGTGAAATCTTAACCCTCTTTGATCTTTAAGTTTCTCAACAAATTTTAACAATACAAATGACCAATTTGTAAAGTAAATAAAATATCGGTGAAAATATCATCACAAATTTTTTAAAATAAAAGAAGTTCTAATCAAATCAAAACCACCACTTGATTACTTCTTCTGTAAGGAGAAAGAAAAAAACTACTCAGAACACCTAAGGATAATAAAACAAAATGTATTTATAACACTCAAATCTAAAGTACAATTCTTATAGAAAAAGATACAAATACTTATCTGAAATGTTTCCCCAAGCACTTCTTTGAAGTTCCTTGACTTCTCTGAGTCTAATAGACTCTTACAGAACTCACAAAACTTCAGAAAGAATAAAAACTCACAAAACCTTACTAAGGTGGCATCCCATTCTATATGGGTGTCTCCCCTTCTCAAAACAACTCTAGCACTCCCCGCTTTACTTTTAGAATAATCCCTATATATAGAGCTTCGAAATTCACCAAGGGTTGCTTTAGACATCTCTCCAAAATTTGGCCTCGTTCAACGCATCTTTTAGAAACTAATTCGGGCACCTGGGCACCAAAACTGTCACGCCTAGGCACCTGCCACGATCTTCATCTGGCGCCTTGGCACCAATTCGACTGATATTGAGAATTTTTTTTTTTTGTCCAGTTTGCTCTTTTTTATGTATTTTTTTTTATTGCACCTGTAACTAAAATGGGAGAGCCTCTTTTGTTGTAAGAAAATTTTTCCCATCTTTATGATGTAATTTGTTATTTTAATTTTTTAAGTTTAATATCTCAATTTGTGTGTCATTCGTTTATGCATGGAACCCCACTATTATGAGTGTTCTCCCTAAATAAAGTCGGTGTACCAAACATGCTCGCATAGCCCATTTCGTCATCAGAGATCATCTAAACAAATTTGTTAATGATCAAACCAATTTGAGACTAATTCATGTGTGAAGTGATTTTATGGACTCCTCGAGTTACGGGAAACTACTTATGAATGTTATATAATCCCTTTTCATTTGAAAGGACATTCAACACATGTGACATAAAAAAATTTGATGCCAAAAAAGGACCCCCCAACAAGTGTGTTGCATTGCTAAACACAAAACAATTGTTTGAAGCTGCCTAACTTATTATTGAACCAAGGTTAATTATGTCAATGTAACTTGGTCAACTGAAAAGAAAAAAATCTATATATACTAATAAGGAAAGCTCTATGACTCACATCCAATTCTAGGAGGTAGACAGGTCGGCTAGGTCGAGAAAAAATGCCAAGGGACTTATATCAACTCGAGAGCCATTTTGGGTGATCAAATCAAGAAAGAAAACTTTGAGATTCACATCTAACTTAAGATATGATCAAGGCACAGAGCCTAAATATACTAGAAGGAATGCTCTGTAAGTTACATCCTACCTAGAAAGTATAGCGACTAAATCGAGAAAGAACACTAAGGGACTCACATCCACTCGAGAACTAGTCAAGGTCATCATGTTAGAAAGGAAGACGTCGAGATTTACATACAACCTAAGATCTTATGTAGGAATGGAGCCTACGAATATTAGATAAGGAAAGCTTTTAGGGCGTAAATCCAACCTAAAAGGTGACCAGAACGAGCGAGAATGTCAAGAGACTCACATCCACTCGATAACTAAACTAATTGATCAGATTAGAAAGGAAGATGTTGGGATTTACATCCATCCTGAGATCTGATTGAGGCATGGTGCCTTATAATATTAGAGAAGAAAGCTTATGGAACTTACATCTAACCTAAAAGGTGACCAAATTAAGTGGGAATGCCAAAGGACTCACATTTGCTTAAGAACT